ACCTCGAAAGGATGGAAAACTGAGTCAACCTTGAGCCGGTGAGATTAGAACCGCTGAACTGCAGATAACAGTCAGCTGAAGTGGCCTGCAGTACTGCACCCTAACCACTGCACCACCTCGGTTTATTTTAGCGCATGTGCTAAAAAGTCCAGTTGGACTTATTATCCGGGGAAGTCTTATTTTCAGGGAAACAGGGTAGTGTATCATAAACTAATTGGGTGAGGAGTATGGTTTATGATTCAGTGCATTCATTCAAGGGATAAAATGGCACAAGCGAATAACCAGATTAAATGAATCGTATGCATTCAGGTTAGGGGCCCCCATGTTACCATAATTTGAAATTCATTATTTATAGTTTTTGTAGCGATTTGAACAAGGAAGTTTGGGAGAGATAGCAGTATTCATTTCTCTTATTATCATTCTCTGTGGAGAAGCACAGATCCCTTTTTGGGAGCTGACAAGTTATCCTAGTGACAGAAAATCTGGCTCAAAAAATATATAGAGATTTTTTATTAAAAAAACCTCTTGATATTCACTCTTGAAAAGGAAAACAATGTTGTATCATCTTTAAAACTTCCCACAAGGCATGCAATCTCATTTTTACTGACCCATTGTGTATAGGTAACACGAGGTATAAACAATCAAAGTTCCGAATTTATTTGGTTATGTTGCTGCAGAATTAATAGAAGAAGACATTTGATTCTTAGGAACTCTTTAACTGCAGATCTTTTCCATTTAGAAATGTGAGATGGGTAGTTTTTGAAATGCTCGCAATAGTCACCCTTCTCACAACTGTGTCAAGCCATCAATGCTTACCTAGGTGGAGCTCTGAGAAATTAATTACCACTTGCCTGCACTGCTAATATTACAGGAAGAACTTGAAAATGGAAGAAAAGAAACAGAAGCAGCCCTTTGGAAAGGGCCTTTGAATGTTTTGCATTGAAGGTATTCTCAAAAGCGGAAGACACACCCGATCAACCCAGATGAAAGCAGCTTGTATAATAACTTTGAGTGCCTCTGAACCATAGTTCCTAGTGATGAAAGAAATGTCCTTCTGGGTTCAGCTCCAAGTGNGGTATAAAAAGGTTGACTATCCCTGTATTAATCTATGTCAAGGGTGTAAAACTCGATTACATTGAGGGCTGCATCAAGGTTGTGTTTTATCTCAGGGGCTCGTGTGGGTGTGGCTAGGATGGGTGTGGCCACTTTGATGTCACTCCTATCAGGGGCGCCTGTGATGGCCCAAGCACACTGCTAGCATAAACAGGCTCCTGTGCTCCGTTTTTGGCTGCGACGGATTCCTGCAACCCTCTGCCAGTGAAAACGGAGCCCGGGAGGAACACAGAGCTCCATTATCACTGGCAGAGGCACTGCGGGCTGGTCCTTTGGGGTTTCCAGGGCAGCCCCACAGGCCAGATCTAAGCACCTTGTGGGCCGGATCTGGCCCCTAGACCTTGAGTTTGATACTCCTGGTCTATGTTGTATGTTTTGTTCTATCTCCTGGTTGATTAACACTTTTCCTTCTCTCTCTCTCTCACTATTCTTAAGATGACTTGTAGACAACCCGAGAGGAACTGACCATACAACTGAAGTTGCCAAAGCCATGAAGACCCACAACACCCCAGAGAAGAAAACATCAGGCTCCTCCGCTCCTTCTCGATGGCACAGGAGCAGGTTTCGGCGCAAGCCCTCCCCGCAGATGGTGGTGAAGGGACAGCTTCGGATGCGCTCTCCCTCGGGAGTCTTTGTGATGGTGGGGATCTCGGTGGTCTTGGTGGGAATGACCATTGCCGTGATCGGATACTGGCCTCACCGTACAAAGTCCGGCAGTGGCAGGCCAGGGAGCTCCAATGTCACCGGAGACATCAGGAAGGACATTAAGGTTTCTCCCCAAGCTCGCCCCTTTCTCCACAGTGAGAAATTGAAGCTCATTGGGCCGGTCGTCATGGGTGTGGGCCTCTTTATCTTCATCTGCGCTAATACGATGCTGTACGAGAACAGAGACATGGAGACTCGCTTGTTGATGCAGCAGGAGCTCTATTCCATGGGCCTGGATTTCCCACAGGACCCGGGACCAGCCAGCGATTACTTTCAAAGGAGAAGGACCACCTCATCCACCCTCAGGGCCAATGCTGAATGTGCAGAAGGCTACTACGAGGTGGACCTTTCTTCTAGCGGCTTCCAGTCTTGCTCCAGCCCTGTGAAGAAATGGGTCAACAGCTGCAATTCCAGCAGGCTCCAAACCACGACCCAGTTCTTTCATCACAAGAGCATCTCACCTTCGCTCTCTCTCTTGAGCATCCGTTCGGACTCCGGCAACGCCGTGCCAGAGAATGGAGCTTTCTCCTTTGCTCGCGGAGCGGAGACCGTCCTCTCTACGGCCGTCAACGCCTTGCCTTTGCCTCTCATTAAGCTGAACAGCTGTCTTCTTGAAAAGCAGGGCGTTTCTCGGGCAGGTGTCCGGGATTTGGAAAGCAAATGTAGGTTGCCAGAGGAGAAGGAGGAGGTACGGAGACTCTCGTGGGCTTTTCTGCCTGGATGCAACCACGTTGTGCCCAGGAAGGACACCTTTAAAGGCAGCCACGTAGTTATTGATATGGATAGCACATCCCACTCAGGCACCTCGGTGGATAAATTTCATGAATGTGCAAAGAGAGAGTTCCCAAACTCGGGTCATTCTAAATCCTTGGATCTTGGCCAGCCAAGAACGGCATTGGTGGCGCCCAGCATAGACAGGAAACACAGGAGCTGGCCTAGGCTTGATCACATTGACCTACTCAACTATGCAAAACTGGAAAGCCAAGGGGAGTCTTCCAACAGGCTTTTGGGGGCCTCAAAAGACCTTTTTAGGGGGGAGAGCATTTCATTATCCCAGGAAATTCCTATGAAAACAGGTCATATCATTTGATCCCGCACCCGAAGGGAACTGTGTTGTTTTGCTAGGTCAGATTTAGGCATTGCCAAGAGAAGGGTGGCCGGCTGATCACTATTTGCCATGAGGATTGCAATGCTGGCTGCTTCATTCATCAGCCAAGGTCTGTTGTCAATGGAGAAATAGTTTGGATGACTTTCTTCCCAAGGGTCATGTGGTTTCTTGCCTTAACTAAAAGTCTGACCGAGGGTGAAAAACGTTGTCCTGGATGGACCACACCAGTGGTGGGATTCAAATAATTTAACAACCGGTTCTCTGCCCTAATGACCAGCTGGGTAGGTGGGGCTCGGTTCTCATGTGACCGTGTGGGCGTGGCCAACTCAATGTCACTCAAGTCAATGGGCGCTTTGCCTTAGCTGTGACAATGTAACAAGGGTTAACCGGAGAGGCAGTTTCTGTAAGCAGGGCAATAAAGATGAGGCTAGAAACAACACCAGAATGTTTCCTTCCTGCCTTCCTTACAGGATTAACCCTGTAAAGTGGTGAAAAAAACAAAACAAAATGAGATTTCTTCCAACAAGCGGTTGTCTGAACTACTTAGAAAGGTAACAACCGGTTCTCTGCCCTAATGACCAGCTGGGTAGGTGGGGCTCGGTTCTCATGTGACCGTGTGGGTGTGGCCAACTCAATGTCACTCAAGTCGATGGGCGCTTCGCCTTAGCTGTGACAATGTAATAAGGGTTAACCGGAGAGGCAGTTTCTGTAAGCAGGGCAATAAAGATGAGGCTAGAAACAACACCAGAATGTTTCCTTCCTGCCTTCCTTACAGGATTAACCCTGTAAAGTGGTGAAAAAAACAAAACAAAATGAGATTTCTTCCAACAACCGGTTGTCTGAACTACTTAGAAAGGTAACAACCGGTTCTCACGGAATCAGCAGGTGCGAACCGGCTGAATCCCACGGTTCCACCACAAAACCGCGGAGGACAAAATCGCGCTCGACGAAAGCGCGCATTTGACGTCATCACAGCGCG